GGAGGACGGAGGAGGCGACGGCAGAAGGGGAGGACGAGACGCGTGGGAACGAAGCAACATAGGGTGGGAGCGCAAGACAGGCGAGGCAGGACGAGCACGGGAGGGACGGTGAGACCAGACGTGGGACGGAGGAGTCGGGTCAGGAGACAGGGGAGGGGACACAGGAGGGGAACGAGGGGGGAGACGGGCCGGGGACGAGTCCGGCGGAGGGAAAACAGGGCCGTAGACAGGAAGAGGAGGAGACGGTCGGGGAGGAACCGACGCAGGGTCGGGGGACGGAAGGCCGAGCAGGCGAAGGGCTGACACCGGTGGGGACTGCTGCTGCGGCGGCACAACGGCGACACCTGGACCGCAAGCTGCTCCTCGGCTACCACCGGCACTCTCCACACCCGCACCCCCAGAGGGACCACCCTCAGGGCGACCGGGACGAGCACCCCCAGAGTCAGCGAACGGGGGCTGCGACGGCGGCGGCGGCGGCGGCGATGGCGACGGCTGCAGCGGCGGCAGTGGCGGTGGAGGAGGGGACTGGGGAGGGGACACCTGGGGAGGGGCGGCCGGCGAGGACTGCACAGGAGGGCCACCAGAGTTAGAAGACTCCTCAACCGGGTCCACGGACGGAAGGGGGGTGACGTGGGAGACACCAGAGAGGGCGGGACGGGGAGGAGGAGGAGGAGGGGCAGGGACTACCGGGGAAGGGGTGACCAGGAACAGGGGGGGGGTAACCGGGGGACCACGGTGGGGGAAGCGGCGGTAGTAGGAGACGGACTCGTCAAAGGTGACGTCACGAGAGTGCAAGAACCGGTGAGACGGCGGGTGGTAAAAGTGCCAGTCGGACGCGTCAAGGGGAAAACCGAGGAAGACGCAGGGAAGGGTGCGGGCAGTGAGCTTGTCCGTGCCGGAGGCACAGACGTGAGCAAGGCAGCCCCAGACGTGGAACGCAGACGCGTCACCAGGAGACCCAGTCCACAGACGGGTCGGCGAAACCTGCGGCTGCTGAGGGTGCGGCCACAGGTTAAGCTGGTGAGAAGCGTAGCGCACAGCGAACGGCCACAGAAAATGGGGTGCACCGGCATGGATCATGGAGGTGCGAGCGACCTCCATGACCAAACCGATGCGTCGCTCAGCGACCCCATTCTGCTGTGGGGAGTCCGGTAGGGTGAACGTCTGGGTGATGCCCTCCGCACGACAAAAGCGACCAAGGACACCTGAGGCAAACTCGCCACCACGGTCTGAGTGAAGACGCAAGACAGGGAGACCGCGGTGGACACGCGCAGAGACAAGCCAGGGGATGAGGGCGCCAGGCACGTCGGCCTTGCGCTCCAGGGGAAAGACTGTGGTGTAACGAGTGAAGTCGTCGACAAGCACAAGGAAGTAGCGCTCGCGACGCGGCCCAGGGACGGGGGCGGGGCCCCAGACGTCCAGGTGCAGGGTCTGCAGCGGCGCGGCGGTAGGGGGAAACGAGGAGGAGTGAGGGGCACGGCGAAGCCGACCCTCGACACAAGGCGTGCAAGGTGGAGCTGGGGAGGAGGGAAACGCGGGGAGTGAACCTGGGAGACCAAGGACAAGACCGTGCTGGGACATGTGACGCAGACGCGGGAGCGCAGGGTGACCTAGGCGGTGGTGCCACAGGAGGGTCGGGTGAGTGAGGGACCGACAGGAGCAGGCAGCAGCAACCTGGGTAGACACAGCCACCTGAGGGGGCGCTCCAGCCGGGGGGGGCACGGTGTCCAGAGTGAACAGGCCGGACACCGGGTCCCGGGGGAACGTGGACAGGGGGGCACCAGTGGCGGCCTCGGTACAGACAGCATACCGCTCGTGACCAGGGAACGTAGTGGTGACGCCAAGGTCCTGGAGGCAGCCGACACCAACTAGGTTCCTGGAGAACGAGGGGATATGCAGACCTGTAAGAGAGCCCGAAGGAACCGCCGGACAGGGAAGGGTGGTGGAACTGCGGGCGACTACCGGACCGCCGGAGGGGTCAGCAAGAGAAACGGCAGCAGGAACAGGAAGCGGCGTCAGGGTGGTGGAGTCGCGGAAGAAACACCGAGAGGCGCCAGAGTCAAAGGTGAAGGAAAGCGAAGCCGAGGGGTCTGGCGACGGAACGACGGCAGAAGCACCAAGACTACACAAAGCAGGGGATCCTACGCCTGACGCAGCAGGGGAGGCTAAGCTAGGCACACCTACACTAGGCAACAGTGAGTAATAAGCGGGAAGCACACTAGAGTCATCAGCATACATCACATGCAGAGCAGAAACAATGGCATCCATGTCCATATCAAAGATCTGAAGCTGACGACTAAGCAAACTGTGCCAGTCCGGGAGGTCTGGCGACGGGCCGAAGCGCTGACGAAAGAGGTCGTTCAGGCGACGAAAACAGCGGGGAGTGGAGTGACCGATCTTACCGCAAACGAAGCCGCGGCGAGGACCGGTCTGGATCTGGTACTGACAACGCCCGCCGCCAGAGCCACCACGCGGCACACCACCACGCGCCCGGCCACCGCCAGCGCCGGGCCACCCTGGCGGGAGGACACTCGTCTGCCGCGTCTGCGACGGCTGCTGCGGCTGCTGCGAAGGCTGCGACTGCGGCGGCTGCTGCGGCTGCTGCAACTGCAGGGGCGGCGACTCAGCTGGACTGGGCAGGGTCCCCTCGTCTGCTCCAGCACCAGGCGACCCGACCCCACCACTACCCCCGCCCGCACCCCCGCCGCCCCCTCCGCCGCGCCCAGCCTTGGGGCGGCGGCCCTTCCCAGAACGGGCCTGCGCTGCAGCAGCAGTCTCAGCCACTGCGGCAGAGCCGTCGGAGAAGGTGCACTGAGCGGGGGCACAACCCTGAAAGATAGGGACCGGCACGACACCGCTCGCCTGGGCAATGGAGCGGTGACGGGTCTCTATCACAGTCAGGGTGTCGACAAAGTCAGTGAGGGTGAGGTCTGCGGGGTGAACGCTAAGGAAGCGGTCGCGGGCGACAGCAAGGCGGTCAGGGAGGCGGGTGGCAAGCAGGTAGAGGGTAGAGGTAATGGGCGGCTGGTGGGCTCTAAGCTGTGCGTCAGTGCAGGCGGCGCGCCAGGTCTCCTCTATCGAGCGCAGGTGGGCAGCGAGGTCAGAGACAGTGGGGAAAGAAGCAAGGTCAGGAAAGAGCAGCGGGAGGATCAGGCGACCCACCGAGGCAGCCGGAGGGGTGGAATAGCGCTTGATCACAGCATCTAAGTATGCCTGAGCAGTAGTGAGGGACCTAAAGCGAGGACGCTCGGACGGGGGGAGGGCGTTGCTAATGGCAAGCTGGGCGACAGCATCGCGAGAAAGCCAGACAGAGCGCGCACGGGCAGTGGCAGCAGTAGACTCACGCTCAGTGGGTGTGGGGTCAGCGTGCAGAATAGCAGGAGGGTCTGGGCAGGGGAGCGTACCGTCAAGGTGTGCGGAAAGCGGTTCACCATCCTGCCGCTGGCCAGTGAGTTGGCGGCGGAGGTCGGCAAGCCACGCCTCGAACTCTAGGGGCTGACCTTCAGCGTCGAAGCGAAGCTCCGCCGCCATCAGGAACAGTCCAGTGCGGTGCAGGGCGGTGCAGTGCAGTGCAGTGTGGTACAGTGCGGTGCAGTGCGGTGCAGTGCGGTACAGTGCGGTACAGTGCGGTGCAGTGCGGTGCAGTGCGGTACAGTGAGGTGCAGTGCGGTGCAGTGCGGTGCAGTGCGGTACAGTGCGGTGCAGTGCGGTGCAGTGCGGTGTAAGGCAGTACAGGGTGGTGTGTGGCGGTACGGTGCAGGGCAGTGCTGGGCGGGGTGGGGGGGAACCGTACCAGTGTGGAGGACGGGGCCGGGGCAGCGGGGCCGGGCAGGTGCGACCGGGCCGGGCGAGGACGACGGGGCCGGGCGGGCGCGACGGGGCCGGGCGGGCGCGACAAGGCCGGGCTGGTGCGACAGGGCCGGGCCGGGGCGACGGGGCCGGGCAGGGGCGACTAGGCCAGGCGGGGGCGACAGGGCCGGGCCGGTGCGACGGGGCCGGGCGGGCGCGACGGGGCCGGGCTGATGCGACGGGGCCGGGCGGCTGCGACGGGGCCGGGCGAGCAGGACGGGGCCCGGCTTGGGCGACGGGGCCGGGCTGGTGCGACAGGACCGGGCGAGCGCGACGGGGGGCCCAGGAGGGGCGCTGCAGGGGCCCAGGAGGGGCGCGACAGGGCCCAGGAGGGGCGCTACGGGGCCCAGGAGGGGCGCGACGGGGCCCAGGAGGGGCGCTACGGAGCCCAGGAGGGGCGCGACGGGGCCTGGGAGGGGCGCGACGAGGCCCAGGAGGGGCGCTACAGGGCCCAGGAAGGGCACGACGGGGCCCAGGGGGGGCGCTGCGGGGCCTGGGAGGGGCGCGACGGGGCCCAGGAGGGGCGCTACGGGGCCCAGGAGGGGCGCGACGGGACCCAGGAGGGGCGCTACGGGGCCTGGGAGGGGCGCGACGGGACCCAGGAGGGGCGCTACGGGGCCTGGGAGGGGCGCGACAGAGCCTAGGAGGGGTGCTACAGGGCCCAGAAAGGGCGCGACGGGGCCCAGGAGGGGCGCTACGGGGCCCAGGAGGGGCGCTACGGGGCCCAGGAGGGGGCGCGACGGGGCTAGGGGGGGTCGCGACGGAGCTAGGGGGGCGAGCGGAAGCGGTAGGTGGGGGGGGGGATCCTACCTACGCGTGATACCATATCAGAAATTGAAGTGATCGTTGATAGAGTGAGAGTACACACAAATATACCTAAGTGTTGTACCCTCTAAGAGGCTACCCTATACAGTCTATACAAACATAACAAATAGATATGTTTGACAAAAGGTTCTCTGAAAAATCCGAGTAAGGTACAAAAAAAAGTCTTTGCATTAGTACACCCCAAAAAAAACTCTGAAAAAAGTCTGAATCAGAGTAAAATGTCTGCAATTTGGGGGCCTGTCACTGACCGTACATGTTATACTGAGCGCCAATATACTTTCCCCTGAAAGTGCAGTCAGTCATTTCCCTTAGCCTCACCAGAGCAGCGAATGACTAATATTCCATTATATGGCAGCATGAAAATGACTACCAGTATGCAACAGAGAATCAATGATCTATATACAGCATTCTTCACACACCTAACAAGTACGGTATCTGTAATATTGCAGGCCCATCTATAAGGCTGCAAGCAACAGCCAGATGTCAAGCAAACAAAGCATTAACGAAATCAACAGAAGGGATTCAAAGGGGCTTCTCTAAGCTTGTCAGGATAAGAACCCCATGCCCTCGAAAACAGCAGCAGCAACAGAGCATTCTTGACAACTCCCCATTGCAAGCAGCAGCAGCAGCAGCCGCTGATGAAGCATTTCCCAGGGCTCCAGCACGGATTATTCTGCATTTAGGGTCACTCCTTCCATGCCGTGTGCCTCCTCCGCCTTAGCTCATCGAATCGTGACGCTCAAAAGAAGCACAACTCAGCTACAACTCTGCAGCAGCATAGGTACATCACCAGGATCTTTCACCTCTCCGCGAGCATTCTCAACTCCGTTTCCAGTCACCACTGCATCCCACGCGCGCGACGCAGAAAGCAGTGTCCAATAACCTCTAAAGTTGCAGATTCAGAATCCTCCCCACTCCCCATCACAGCATCCTATGCGTGTGCCTGAGAACGTCGCTCTCCGTGATTATCCCCACCACCGTCATCCGTCCGTCCTCATCGCCAATTGGGGCAACCACCGGCAGACGGGCAACCTGAGAGATGGAAAAACGGACAGGGAGATAAGATTAAAGCAACCAAAAAAAAGGGCGGAAAAAAAAAAACCGGAGCAACCACAAGGAGAGATCTACAAAAATAGGGGGGAGGCGGGCAAGTAGCGTGCACAAGAAGCAACCACAGGAATCCTCAGATCTGGCTCCCGATCCCCGAAAAAATGATGGGAAGACGTGCTGGTGCATGCGGGCTCACATTATGATTGAGCATCAACTCTGTGGCGTCTGACACCAGCGCGTTTGCTTCGACGTAGACGGGCGTGTCGGTCATTGACTCCTCCACCTTACAGCAGATGAAATAGCATTTAGAGTCATTTCACATTAGGGCACCACGGCAAAAAATACATCCGATTTGGGGCGGAGTGACATTCAAAAGGGGAAGGAGAAGAACGGGATCTGGTCGAAAAGACGCCTTCGCTGCTCAGAAAATCAATTCATCGATTGATCATACGAATCTGCCGAAAAGGCAAGTGTCACGAGCGACGAGAGTTACACAAGCGTACCTTTTGGCTCATGATTTTCGTGATCTGATGTCTCAGCGTGTCAACCATGGGCCCGTGGTTCAGGTTGCCGTAGTAGCACGAGAGACGGTGAATCTTGTCCTCTTCCTGGCGTAGAGGAAACGGCGATAACACAGGCGACAAAACAACAGGGCGGCAGAAACACGACAGAGAAACAGAAAACGCAACGGACAAAATAGAAACACGAAGGAATTGGCATATTAGAACGCAGAACTTAATGACTCAGAGAAGGCGCAGTGGAGCGAAAGGCACAAAGCCGTCTGGCGCAGCTTAATACTCCGAAAACTTAGGGAGCAGAAACAGAACGGAATAAAAGCATGCGGATAGAAGGGGAAAGGAAGACAAAGGAGGGGAGTGTGGGGGGGGGGGTAGAGGGGGGGGGGGGGGGGGGGGCGGTTTTGAGTGGGGTTGGGCGGGGGGTTGGTGAGAGACGGAGAAGTGGAAGGAGGGAAATGGCATTGGCTGCGGTGAAGGACGGAAGGAGGTGGCTTACCGAAGGGAAGGGTTTCCGCTGCTTCCACAGCAGATCCCGCTGCGATAGCACGCCGACGAGCCGCCCCATTCCCACCGCGTCCCCCTCGAGCGGCTCCACCACCGGCGCTCCCGTGAGGCGATACCGCAGGAGCAGCTTCACCGCGGCGCGTAACGACGTGTCTTTCCGGAAGCAGATCGGATTGCGCGTCATGAACTCGCCGACCGTCCGCTCCTCCCACATGTCCTTCCACGTGTCCTCGTCGCTCTCGCCGAACCGCGTCAGACGGTCGTCTGCTGTCAAATCTTGTTGGAAATCCTCATCCTCGTTAGAAGGCGCGTGCCGGCCCGGTAAGAGAGTCGCCGGGTCGGCGAGATACACGCTGTTGCTGACGAAACCAGTGGTTTCGCGTTCCAGGAACGGCGACCTGCGCACCTCGTCCTGCCACGTGGCAGGCTCGGAGCCCTTCCTCGCGGCGCTCCGGCTTAGGGTCGACTCCGCGGAGGAGTCGCACGTCACGCGGAGCACGGACGCGCCCTCCTTCGCGAGACGCCGGGGGATTTTCGCGGAGAGGATTTGTGTGGGAAAGCTCGAGAGGCGATGAGCGGTAACGCAACGAACGGCTTCCATGGCCAGTGGCTAAGAGCACTCTAGTAACGAGGTTCAAGCTTTGAAGCGACGCTAGATATTTCTAAAACTGGTAGCCTTTTTACGCCTACACAACCGAATTTACTGCGCCAGAAGCGTGGGTTGCGGGAATCGTGTGTGGCTAGTAGAAGTGAGTGCTCAGGGGGGTTGGTTGAACGATGTGTGGACGGCTAGGAAAATGGGGATTGGGAAATAGGAGAGCTGAGAAGGGGTAGTGTGAATCGAGGGAGAAAGCGAGGAGAGACGCGGAAGGGGTGTAGGGGGAGGGGGAGGTCGGGAGGAAGGAGCGGCGCATACGAAGGGAAGAGGTTGTGAGAGGGTAGGGTTGTTGAAACAAATCCTGGGTCCATTTTGTCGGTCAGCCCGTACGGGCAGCGGCTGGAACAAGGAGATTCCAGAGGTCCGAACTGGTACTGTACCCATGAAAAAGTGTATGCATACGCCAGTCCGCGGCATTTCACACCTGATATTTTGTCAAAATTGACTTCAAGGGGGAGTCATTCACTCCCTCCCTCTTCGAACTGCGCCTTATCATGACAAGGCTACTTCATCATGATATTCGAAGGCCAGGTCAAGAGAAAGCGCGCCGACGGGCTTGGCGGAAGAGAAAGGTGGAGGATGTGCGCGTGGGGCAGCGAAAAGACGCCTTCGGGCTATTGGCTGGCGGGCAGTTTCAATCGGGTTTCCAGCCCACTGGCGGGAAAATGACGCGTTTGATGAACGATGACGATGTGATGTGCAATGGGGCGGGGCGGGGCTCTCTCCCTTGAAGGGGCAGGGAGGGACATTGCTTCTGACCGCGTTGCGCGGACATGGATTCAGGGGAGGACGCGGCGGATCAGACCCCTTCTTCCGCGAAGCACTCCCTTCAATTCCCAGTGGGCGGAAGGAAACTGCGATGTTGATGGTGACGGCGGCGCGGTGGGTGGGGGGGGTCATGCATGGGGGGAGGAGGGGGGAGAGATGCTTTAGGGTCTCCGCATATTCCTCACAACTTTGCTCCAGTCAAAAGCTGTGACCCGCCCCGCTAGCCTGCCATCACCGCGTTTGCCCTGGCAGCCAGCGTGACAACGGCGAAAGCAAAGCATCAGGTCAGCGGTTTCCCTGGCTCAGGTCAGCTGACCTGGCCTGCCTGACCGGGGCTGGTTGGCTGCCCAGTCGTTTCTGGTCGTTGTTTGGTCTATTTTCTGTTTCTGTGTTCCCACGCCCTTCCATCCCACTTGGCAAAACACACAGGTTTGCAAAATGGGCGCAGCAGATGCTGTGTATACTTTGGATGCGGCATTGTTACTTTCTAAACGAGTATCGATGGTGCCCGTCTGACGAACGTCGGACTTTCGTGCTGACCGAAACTTGAGGTCGACCACACTCAAATCTCATGTGCAATTCCAGGGCACCTCGTGCACTTCGCGACAAAAAACATCCGCTCGAAAGCTGGCACTGCATAGCGTTTTCCGAATTCAGGGCATGACGCTCCCACATCCACGGAAGTCGCTGACCTGTCGTCCAGCCTCCTCGGGGAAGTCTCCACTGAGGATCTGCGATCGTGACCTGGCGATCGCCGCTGCCTTGATTGGTGTTCCAAACGTGACAAGTATGGACGTGACACCACGCAGGATCAAGTCACCTATCAGTGCTTGTTTTCAGTTCGTGGGGAATGTTTGCACGTGTGACCGGCGAACAGCAATCCAACAATCGTTTACAGTACTGTGCTTTAGTGTTATGAGATGCATGGCTGTACAGAAAAAGCAGCGACGGATAAAACTTCATAGGAATTAAATGGCTAATTCTCCCATCAAGTGCCACAAACGAAACCCTGGAAACTGAAGTCCCCTTCGAAGCAAATGTGGCTGTCCTCACCGCAACTCCAACCCGGCCACAAAAACGTTCACCAAAATGGACGACTTCCCAATCATGGAAATCAGGTGACGCCACACCACCCACTCCATCCATAGATAAGTGTGGTGTAGGTAGGGAGGAGGAGGAGGCGGCACCAGCCCGTTCTCTGGCGATAAGTACGGAGGGATCCAGTGCAGCAATACACCAGGTGTGCAGGGAGTCCCGGAAAATTGACCGGGCCCACCCCCAACCTGCGCCCATCCGCCACCAATTACGGGCAACGGCTCTTTCACCTGATCGCCCATTCACCGGGGTTTTGTGGCACCTACTACCCGGCGGCGGCGAAAGTGTCCATGCAAAGGAGCTCGCGAAAGCGGGTGTCCACTTAACGGCCCATTCTCCCGTGGCGAATGCTGGCGAAAAAAGTTCGCGCATTACGCCCACGCGGTTCGTCAAAATCGGGGTTATTGGGTGCGCACCCGGTGTACGTGAACTGTACATTTTCCGCCGCCTCTTGGCTCGGTTGCTAGAATGCTGTGGACGAAAATCTTTCCGAGAACGCCACCAGAACACAGATGCATCGGCGAGATTCGTCACGAGGCTCTTCGTGCGCGCTTTCAGCTGCAGATCGTCTCCCGAAGGCCACAACCACCAGCCTGCTCGGACAACACAACTCCTCTTTTGCGAGCGCCGCGTGCAGCGAGTCACCAACGCCTAATATCCGCCTTCTGGCCGATTCGTTGGTTTCCATTCAACTCTCTCGGCATCTTCGTGATGCGTGACTCCAGCTCGTGAAGTCAGCACTCGTTACTAGACTTCCGTACCTACTCGGCCATGACAATGGCACGGAGTCCATCCACCGCTTTCGACTTTCCGGCGATGAAGTCACAGATTAAGGGCGTCGAGTCGCTCGTACCGTATCCCGTCGCGCTCGCCTGGGCGGTCGTCGCGACGCTCCTCCTCTTCTGCTCGCTCACCCTCGTCGCCGTTCAGCTTCCGCAGCGATGCGCGCAGTGCGACTGCGACTTAGCGCAACGAGAGACGCTCTTAGCGCTACGAGGCAGAGGCGGAGGCGGCGCGGGGGAAGCCGAGTCGTGCTCTGATTGGGTATCGACCAGCCGAGCCGTGCAAAGCGGCGGGCAGAGCGGTGGCGATAGTACCGCGACGCCTCGAGTCAATGTCGAGGACCCGTGGGCGTTTACGAAGGTACTACCTCACTAGCACCTTAGGACCACGAGGACTAAAAGTCTTATATGACCTTTCGGCGTGGAGGCAAGGTCAGGGCGGAGCGTCCGTATCACTAATGATCTATGCCGCGCTCCCTTCAAAAGGGAGTCGAAGCCCGACTTTCAGTCTTAGGTGCCGTTGCGCGGACTCCACGCAAGGGCTTACTACTAAAGCCGCCTCGAAGCCGACTTAGAGTCGGCTCAATGTCTCACTCCTCTCTTTTCTCATCCCTCTCCCCCCTCCTCCCCACCCCGGTTCCCCGCGTCTTCCCCCATTCCTTCCTCGGGCCAAGCCCTAATACCCCGCAAGCGCCGTTGCGCGGAGATGAACCACGTCCGGCCTATGACGTGCTGCCCTTCTCGTCCTTCTCGTCCTTTTCTCGTCCTTCTCGTCCTTCTCGTCCTTCTCGTCCTTCTCGTCCTTCTCGTCCTTTTCTCGTCCTTCTCGTCCTTCTCGTCCTTCTCGTCCTTCTCGTCCTTCTCGTCCTTTTCTCGTCCTTCTCGTCCTTCTCGTCCTTCTCGTCCTTCTCGTCCTTCTCGTCCTTCTCGTCCTTCTCGTCCTTCTCGTCCTTTTCTCGTCCTTCTCGTCCTTCTCGTCCTTCTCGTCCTTTTCTCGTCCTTCTCGTCCTTCTCGTCCTTCTCGTCCTTCTCGTCCTTCTCGTCCTTCTCGTCCTTCTCTCATCTTTCTCATCTTTCTCATCTTTCTCGTCTTTCGACGTTGCGCCTTGCGTTGCCTGCACCCACGCCCATACAGTGGACGCCCCGCGTGTCGCCGTGCCTTGTAGCGGGGCTGCCTATAGAGGAGCTGGACGCGCACCTCAACTTCCGCCGCGGGTGGACCCTCGGCTTCGTGGACGACGTGGAGGATAAGACGCTGACCATGCCGTTCCTGCGAGCCGCGATGGACCCGAGCATGCACCGGAGGTCGGTCGCATTAGAAGTGTCACATGTGTTCTAGTGCGGGTAGCATGTGTTCCGTAATGATAGTACTAGCGCGGGTGGTCCCTCGGCTTCGTGGACGACGTGGAGGATAAGACGCAGATGATGCCGTTTTTAAGAGCCGCCATGGACCCCAGCTTGCAAAGGAGAGGGGTGAGTAGTGCCTCCTCTTTGGCGTCGCCAGATAGGGGTGGCCTACGTGGAGAATAAGACGCGACTCCGCCGTTCCTGAGAGCCGCATAACTTTCTCCTCCCCTTCCGCTACTCTCTCCGCCTTCCTATCCCCGAATTCGCGGGAAGGCGCAGGGTACAAACGCCAATGTTTTCCGCCAGAATTTGCTCTAACAGATTTCACACAGCGTAGTGCTTGCGCTCGCACCCAATTTTCGCTTTCATCGTTGAGGTGGGTTACCCTGTCCTCCCCTCGCCTCCCTGTCCTCGTCCCGGATTTCCCCTAAATCGCAGGAAGCGGAGGTTGCTTCTAGACCTCGGAGCCAATAGAGACAAGTGCATCTTGTGTTCTTCAGTTACCGTGATTCACGGCTCGTGGTCGCCCCTCATTCCCCGAAAGCCTAATAGATTCCTGACCCCTCCTCCCTCAGTCCCGCATTCTCCGTTTATTTGCAGGAAGCGGAGGGTTTTGATCGACCTTGGAGCCAATAAGTTCGAGACAAGTGTCACCTGGTTTCTCCGGATGTACCCCCTCGATTTCACCGAGATTCACGCAGTGGAAGTGCAAACCGGCCTGTTCCAAAAGCCATCTACACCGCCGCTTGAGGTATGTGCGATATAAGAAAACGTTGCAAAAATCGTTTTATCGGTAAAGAGATAATGCTATGTCAACAGCAAACGAAGGCCGATGTGGAGAGGAAGGGAGGGGGGGAGGGGGAGAGGGGAGGAAGGGGAGGGGGGATGGGGGGGTGGGGGTAGTCGAGTTTTAAGGGGGGGGGTGAGGGGACGAAGTGGGAACGAACAGGGAAGTCACTATTCGTATTGACGCATAACCTTCTTTGGCAGAGTAGATGTCCTTATGGATATTTCATGGATATCTGGTGGATGAAATTCCGAAGCCTTGCTACCAAAGTGTACTGCTGGGGTAAGGAGGAAAATGTCATTTGGGAAGGAACGACTACTTCGCTCCCTTCAGCCCATCCCTCACTCCCCTCTCCTCTCCCCCCCTCCCCCCAACCTCTTCCTCCCCATATCCGTACATGTACAACTTCTCAATTGCCTTATACCCATATCTATACCTCTCCACCGTACTGGTTTGTGCAGGCACTTGCATTTGAAATCAACTAGCAGTTGCGGCTGCATCTGTTCCACAAAAGACTCGCAGACCCCCCTGATTGGCTGACGCAGCGCGTTCATACCCTTTGCACCACTCTCTACCTCAGGTGCTTGCATATGAAATCAACAAGCAGTCGCGGCTGCGTCCATTTCGCAGGGGACCCGCGGGCTTTCCTGATTGGCTGCTGCAGCGCGTCCATCCCTACAACTTCTTCATTTCTTCCGAGGACAACCAAGAAGAGGTAACAGTTCCGAGAAATGAACAAATCGTTATAACCAACAAAAAAACACATTAATGGCAAATTTGCGAACCTTGGACAATGCAAATACAAAAAGTAACACAACCTGTATGAAGATGTAGTGATCGCGGGGACCACCGCGGTAAGAATCATTAAGCTCAGGGAGCTGATTTGGGACCTGGAGAAGCCATGTCGCTTTGTGCTGTACCTGCCCCCCACCTACCCTGCCCCCCACCTACCCTGCACCCCCCCCCAAGACCATCCCCTGAAGGTGCCACTATCTGGGCCCCTTCATCCCTCCACTCCAACCATTTCCTCCTCTTCATCTCCCCTCCCCTCTTCCTTCCCACTGCTTCTGCTCCTACCCCCCACCTACAATACCTCCCCCCAACCATCCTTGAAGCTACTAACTTGGGGTCCCTCCTCCCTCCCTTTTCCTCATTTTCACCGTCCCCCTTTCTGGAATCTCCCTCATTTCCCCCTCTCCTCCTCAATCCTCCTCTCCTCTCCCCCCAGGGCGTAGTAAACGTGACCAGGTGGCTGCTGGACGAGCTGCAGCTAAAAGAGGAGGACTCAGTGGTTGTCAAAATCGACATAGAGGGTGCAGAGTGGGCCCTGCTGCAGAAATGGGTCGCCTTAACCTCCCTCCTCTCCCCCTTGGCTTCCATTGTTCCTACCTCTCATTCCCAGGGCGTAGTGAACGTGACCAGGTGGCTGCTGGACGAGCTGCAGTTGAAAGAGGAGGATTCAGTCGTGGTGAAGATGGACATAGAGGGAGCAGAGTGGGCCGTGCTGCCGCAGTGGCTCTCCATCCCCAAAATGTCAGCGATAGTGGATGAGCTGTTTGTAGAGGTGCACTACCACCACCCCTCCATGGAGGCTTTCACTTGGACGCCGAAAATATTCAACCACACGCTCGATGAAACGTCGAGATTGCTGACCGATTTGAGGAGAGCGGGGTTTTATGTACATCCTTGGCCATAGACAGAGCAGTTCCCACCTCAAGAAGAGTGTGGCTACGAATATGTATTTGATACTTTGAATGGCATGCACTGACTCCCACGTGCCAGCAATAGTGGATGAGCTGTTAAAACCCAAATCCCAAGTTACAAGGCGCGAGCCTTATCGTTAACAATTTCTGAGGGGGTCTGGGCAGTTACCATGTACAAATTCGGAACAGTGAACAAGTGGTGGGGGGATGGAGAAGGGAAGCTTGTGATTGGACGCTGGGGGAAAACGGGTTTCGCTGAGGGAGGAAAGGGCCAAGGGGAAGGAAGAACCAAAGCTTGCAATTTGGGACTACATTTTTTCTCTATTGTCCCACTCGGAACAGTCCAAATTGCAATCTCACCTACCAGGTTCTCAGCATGACTCGCGTTGACACTGAACCTGATTGACTGCAGTCTGAACGATAGCGAACAGCCAATTTGTATTTCGACAATTGCGAGTTTCAGAGCTGGGACGTCGCGCAGGCAACTAATCTAGTGCATGAGCGAGATTTTGTAACCAAGTGTTATTGTTTACTGTGGGATTTCCCCTTCAAGGTCCTGTTTGCCCATGTCTTACCATTTCCTGCTTACAAGCTCGAGCCGCGTGCAAAAACTGTGAGACTAATTAGGAGAACAGGTGTACCAAAAACCGTTTTGTTTACACAACAGAGTCATGCCAAGCATTTCGCAGCCTCCTTACTGGCATAGTCCTCTCATCACCGTGCTCGCGCCTAGCGAGAGCGTAATCTGTCTAGCTTGCTATGATGCGTCGTATAGCATCCCGCTTCCCGCAGCCCGCTACCCTAATTCGGGGCAGCTAGGTTTAGGAGAATTCTAAAAAACCGTACGATGCTTGGCGCCCACGCGTAAGCTTCCACCTCTAGTTGCGCGAGCTACCTGCAGCCGCCCATTACCCACTCTCCCCCGTCGTCGGGGCTAGTTGGCTACAAAGGGGAACACACTTTCCGCTTTTCCTCGCTTCGAGCCCGCGCGACCCGCCGACCTCGCATAGCTCTTCTCAACCCTGCGGCCACGCCGTCTCACGCTGCGTCCCACAACAAGTACCCGAGCAGGGAGGAAGAGAGGCGATCGAGCAGTGATGGAGAGAGGCGATCGAGCGGAGATGGAGAGAGGCGAAGAAGCAGGGAGGTCGAGAGGCGATAGAGCAGGGAGGGAAAGAGGCGAAACAGAAGAAAGGGGGAGAGCCAATACAGCAGGAAGGGAGTGAGTGAGGCGCAAGAGCAGGGAGGGATCGATACAGCAGGGCGGAAGAGAGGCGATAGAGTAGGGAGGACGAGAGGCGATAGAGCAGGGAGGAAGAGAGGCGATAGAGCAGGGACGGAGAGAGACGAACTAGCAGGGAGGGAGAGAGGCGATAGGGCAGGGAGGGAGAGAGGCGATAGAGCAGGGAGGACGAGAGGCGATAGAGCAGGGAGGGAGAGAGGTGATCGAGCAGGGAGGGCGAGAGGCGATATAGCAGGGAGGACGAGGCGATAGAGCAGGGAGGAAGAGAGGCGATTGAGCAGGGATGGGGAGATACGAACTAGCAGGGAGGGAGAGAGGCGATAGGGTAGGGAGGGAGAGGGGCGATAGAGCAGGGAAGAGGAGAGGCGATAGAGCAGGGAGGGAGAGAGGCGATCGAGCAGGGAGGGGGAGAGGCGATATAGCAGGGAGGACGAGGCGATAAAGCAGGGAAGACGGCAGGAGATAGAGCAGGGATGAAGGGCAACGATGGAGCAGGGATGGAGAGAGGTGATCGAACATGGAGGGAGATGGGCGAGTCTACAAGGGAGGGAGAGAGGCGATCCAGCAGCGAGGGAGTGAGGCATGAGAGGCGGGAGTGAGAGAGGCGATAGAACAGGGTTTAGGAAGAGAGGCAATAGAGCAGGGAGGGAGAGAGGCGATAGGGCAGGGAGGGAGAGGCGACAGAGCAGGGAGGGAGAGAGTCGATAACGCAGGGAGGGAGAGAGGCGATAGAGCAGGGAGGGAGAGAGAGGATAAAGCAGGGAGGGAGAGAGGCGATAGAGCAGGGAGGGAGAGAGTTGAAAGGGCAGGGAGGGAGAGAGGCGATAGAGCAGGGAGGGAGAGAGTCGATAGGGCAGGGAGAGAGAGAAGCGAATGAGCAGGGAGGGAGAGGGGTGATGGAGTGGGGAGGGAGAGAGGCGATACAGTAGGGAGGGAGAGTGGCGACCCAGGCAGGGAGGGAGAGATGGAATAGAGCAGGGAGGGAAAGAGGCAAAACAGAAGGGAGGAATGAGGGAATTAGGTGAACTGAAGAACGGAGGGGGAGAGGAGAGGGAGGGGGGAGGAATGAGGTGAACTACGGAGATGAGGGGGAGACGTAAGAGTTGAGAGGCGCCATAAGACGGGCCGGTCTGCTGCTCGGGCGGCAGGGAAGGAGAGCGGAGTGAGAGCAGGGGAGGGACCTGGGGCATGAGAGTGCCCTCAGAAAAGGGGGGGTTCGAGCAGTGGAAAGAGAGAGGAGCGTGTTGTGTGATGTCATCATATGCTATCACATTCTGCCTGCCTCCCATCCCATGTTTTCAACTTGCATGTGTGGTTTGAACGTGTGCAAGAATTTGTGTGTCGTGTGTTCTGGAGTTTGGGAATGTGTTTTGTGTTATTTTTTTTGAGCAGGTATTTTTGATGATAGATCTCGAGAAGACCTTTCCGACGCGACAAGAATCGCTTCAATCGGAGCAAGAACGCGAAAGCTATGAAGATTCAAAGTTCATGACCTTGCGTTACAATTGCGGCGGTTACAAAGTGAAGTTGTGGGGTGACTCTATATGGAGTTGGGACCTTTAGGGTTGGGTAAATTCGTCACTCAACTGTAGCAGCTGCAAATTGGTTGGGAACAACCAAGCTAGGTTGGCAAGGGTGGCCAACTTGATTGGATTGGTTGGGAAGGGACAAAGGTCAAATTTTGGGTTCCTATAGGGAGGGAATCTTTGTGCTTATGGGGTTTCTTTGGTTGGGGACTCTCTTGGGACCTTTCCTCTCATCCCTCTCTTCCCCTCCAACCTTTCTCTTGCTCCTCTAATTCCTTGTGAGATTCTTGAAACTTGATTGAAGTTTGAGATTGAGTTAAGTTCTTCTCCTACAACATACCCCCTAGTGCGTCGTAGCGTCTCGAATACTCCATCAATCAACGTGATTCAAATTGGGAACGGTAGCTAAGATTACAAGCTACAACATATCCAAGTTTTGTGACATTCCAACAGCTAGTTTCTCGTCGACGTTGTTTCTTGTGGAGACGTCATTTCTGTCCATAATTTCAGAATTATATTTCAGAGTAATTCTAGCTCCTAAGTTTACCTAGACTCCGTCCTCAATACTAACAAATGGTATCAGAGCGATATTCAGGACATTGATAGGAGTCTACAGAAGTGTGAAGACCCTTCTAGACCCACCATGGCCTGTGGGTGTGCCTAAGTGGTGTTCTAAAGGTTGGATGTGACTTCCGCTAAGGGGAAACCCTACCGAAATTTTGTGGACACCGACACTTGTGAAAATATCGAAGGAGCTGAGTGTGGAGAGCAAAGGGGAGCTGAAATTCAACATTTTTTAAGGAGAAGATGAATGAGAGAGGAGGAGATGCTAATGGAAGAGGAGCTGTACCTGAGAAGACAAGTGAGCCGCCACCATCCAAAGTTGAAGCTTTGGATGGCTCCAACTATGAGGAATGGAGCGGGCGAATGAGGAGTGCCTTCAAACGCTACAAGCTACTGAAGATTGCTGTTGGGGAGGAGAAGATGCCAGAAGAAGGCGAAGAACGTGAACGGTGGATTGAGAAAAGCGCAGTGTTTTTCTACCCCATCCTTCAATCGGTCAACAAAGGGATGTTCGAGCACATCAAGGATCTTGTGGAAGCGGATGATTCGGGTCCAAGGGCGTGGAAACTACTACGCGATGTGATTCAGCCCAGCACTCTCTCGATGGTGATCATGCTCGAGAAGGAACTTGCTGTCATCTCCACGCGACCGGGGGATGATGTGAAGCCGGTCCTTGACAAGATCAAGGACACATATGCAAGGATGGCAGCAGCGGGCAGCAGCGTACCAAGATCATCTCAGCTGCAGCAGCGCACCAAGATCATCTCGGTATTGGACAACTCTTGGGACAACCTCATCCCCACCCTCAACTCTCAGCAAGATTAATGGACACCCGAGTGGCTAGGGCAACAGATTCTGCAGGACGACTTCCGCAGACGCCATGTGGGAAGTGGTGCTTCCACTAAGACTGCTAAGGGGTATGGAGCTGCAGGGCACGGCAGAGGAAGAGGGGGTTCGAGGGCTTGGTCCGCGCTGTCGCCCAGCCCCAGCAGGCTCTGGCGTATTCCCCGCAGCTTCTGTCGTCCCAGCAGTACCAGCAGGCTCACCAGCAGCCCGCGCGTTTCCCCTGCCTCAGGTGCCAGCGCAGGTGTTCCTTCCACGTGCTGTGACGTCCCCCCTACTCCCCGACAGCCAGCACCTCGTGCCGCCCCTTCTGTCTGCACCTCCACCGCCGACCCTCCCCTCTGCCGGTCCCTTCGATCCGCGTCAGTTGAACGTGCGGTCCGCGGAGACCCTGCCGCCCTGGCAGCCAACGCCCCTGGATGCATCGGTGGTAGGATGGCCCCACGGCCAGCTGCCGTCGGTGGCACCAGCGTCGTTCGGCGAACGAGCGACAGCGCCCTTTGTCCCCCCTTGTCGTGCGCTGGCGTTGCCGACTGGAGTTGAGGGGGGGGCAGAAGCAGCGGAGATGGGGGGGGCTGACTCCACCGGTGAGGATTCGCCTCCTGGGGACCAAGGGCGGCGTCGCTCGGTTGGGCTGCAGATGCTGCAGAGGGCGCAGCTGGAGCGCCTGCGTGGGAGGGAGCGCCTGGCGGAGAATGCGATTCCAGTCGCCATGCTTCGTTGGCTCTGGCACGTGCAGCAGCGA